CCAGCCACATACACCTAAGGTGGTGGGTTCAAATCCAGCCCGGGCCCGCCAAAACAACAATGATGGCTGCAACCAAAAACAAAAATATATCTGGGCATTGTGGTGGGCGCCTATGGTCCCAGCTACTTGGGAGGCTGAGGCAGGAGACGTGCTTGAGCCCAGGAGTTGGAGGTTGCTGTGAGCTGTGATGTCATGGCACTCTACCCAAGGGGATAGCTTGAGGCTCTGTCTTAAAAAAAAAGAGATGTTATCTATGCATTTCTTTTTGAAGTTGAAGTGAGTTATGATAGCAATGTGTAGTATGATGTTTGCTCAAAAGGTGACATCAATCAAATGCTAGCATCACCATGCAATAGGCCTGAATAGGAATAGCCTTTTCTCTTAAAATGTATATACATGTTTTCGACACCTTCTGTATTTATTATCTGTCCATCCAAGGATTGCTGACCCCTGATCTAATACACTTTAGCTCAAATGTGAAACTGGGTTTCAGGGAGGCAGAGGTATTTGCCCACCCAGGGGTCGTGTGGTGACATGGAGGCAGAGCCGGAGTGGGAATCCAGGTCTTTTGAGTCCTGGGTCAGTGCTTCTTTACTCACTCGACTGCTGCCTTTCTCGGAGGTGGTTCTTTTATGGAGAGGACCCAGTGGCAGATCATGAGCTCTTGGAGCCCTGTCTTAGTCATTGTCATCAGCACCATAGCTTTTGTGTCTTGAGTGCGCAGGAAATCTTACTTGAGAGTTTGGACCTTTACCTGGTTTAGCAGCTCCAGAAATCTTGATTTTTTTACCTGTGGATTTTGTTTGAAATAGGTCTGTGTGGAGGTAGGATGACTACTAGTAGTGATAATTATCTTAACATATGTTTACTGCAGCCTTGGCACTGGGATAAGCACTTACTTTCATTCATGGCTGGATAGTGCTAATTCTCCAAACAGCCCTGAGAGTTAGAAATTCCTGGAAACTGAGCCATTTATCCAGAGTTGTAGAGTTAGTTACCATGTGGTAGATCGGGGCTTCACACTCTAGCACCTGTGCTCTGAGCAACTGTACTGTGCTATGGAGCTGGGGATTGTTCTCAGACACAATCTGATGGAGGGATCATCTGATGATGGTGTCTTAGGGTGCAGGTTAGGCCACTGTAGCAGAGTAACCCCCAGATGCAATGCCTTAATTTGGACAGAAGTTTGTCTCTCATGTGAAAATCCAGGAGTCGGTTCAGGATGGCAGGGCTGCCCATGTCTAATCTAGGCTCCTTCTCTCTTACTGCTCCATCATCAACATGTGTCTTCCACCTTATGGTCCTTGATGTCGTACTTCTGCCATCACTTCTGGATTTTAGCCGGGAAGAAGGAGAGAAGGCAAAACAGAAGGCACCTTCTCTAGGAATGGTCAAGAATTTGAGTGCCTTCTGCTTCTAGAAGTCCAATGTGCTATCCATTGCTCCATGGAGCCACTTAGAATGGTCAAGAATTTGAACATATCACTTTACCTCATATCTCATTGGCCAGAACTTAATCACATGACCACACCTAGCCGCAGAAGAGGCTGTGAAATGTAGTCTGCAGCCATATGGCCTCCTCCTCAGTCACAGTCCTGGGATTCTTTTGCTGAGGAAGAAGGGGAAGGAGAGGGGGATAACAGACAGTCCCTGCCACAAATTGTAGCCACCAGGCAGGGGCGGGGTGGCCCTGCTGTGGGCTCTAGGGAGGGTAGAGTGGAGGTTGACTTGGAGGTTGCTTGACTTGATTTCCATTCTGTTCTTGGCAGGTACAATTGCAAGGAGGAATTCCAAATCCATGATGAGCTGCTCAAGGCCCATTACACTCTGGGTCGGCTCTCGGACGTCACCCCTGAGCACTACCTGGTGCAGGTGAGGTTAGGCCCCACCTTCCCAGCCTCCCCGGCTGCCTCCTACTCTTTCTTTCTTTCCTCATGGGTTCCCTCCCTCTTCTCCCTCCTGCTCTACTCTACTTCCCTACCTTTCACTGCCTCTCTGCCCATCTTCAGAACCGGCAGGGTCCTGGGTGTCCCCCAGGGGACAGCACAGTTGTCCTCTGGTTGATTTCTGTTATCCCTGTCCTGCCTTCCTGTGCAGACCCCTTATCCACATGCTCCTTCGGGAGGTGAGAGAGGCTTGCCTTCCTCTGGGGGAGCTGCAGGCCTTATGGTCAGCCCTAGAGCCAGCTTTGCCCCTGGAGTGCCTCTCATTGCTTTTTTTCTCAAGGTCTGGCTCAGATGCCACCTCCTATATGAAGCCCTCCCTGATTCCCCCTGAGGAGGTTTTTTCTTTTTCCTGCACTTTATGACATCTTTCCCCAGATCACAGATGGTCATGTATTTTGTCTGTTTTTCTTTCTTTCTTTTTTTTTTTTTTTT